AGAGCGGCTGAGCCACTTCCACGCTTCCTGCTCGGGGTGAGCCATTTCCGGGCGCCGTCTCTGTCGCGCTGCCCTGGCCACAGGTGGTACCCGGGACTCAGGCAGTGACACCAGCCCGGGGCCGTGTTCCGTCCGACTTGGGATCCTCTCGGGCAGGGCCGGTGCCGGAATCCTGGGATGGAGATGTAGTGACTCCCGGGCAAGCTTCCTAGTCCCTGTCTGGCAGACAGAAGGTTCTGGAAACACAAGTGGAGCTGTATCTCAGGCAGTTGACTGCCAACGCTCCAGGCGATGGCTGGGGTGCCGCAGCGCGAGGCAGCATGCAGCTAAGCTGGGACCATGAACGCGACCGCATTCTGCGTAGCTGCCCTCCGGGCTGCTGGTTTTTCCTTTTCCTCCCTATGCTCCATCCCTTTCCTCTCCTACCCCGGCAGTGGCCGGCTGGTGGATGGCAGTCAACACAGAAGGCAAGTTTGCATCCGTAGCACTTTTGCAAATCAGCTGGGCTTAAACGAGGGGGGCTTGTGCCTCCCGCTTCTCAGGGGGCTTGAACTTGCCCCTGGGGGTGAGGGTACCATGCTGACTTCAGCAGTCTGGGATCCACGAGAGGCCGCGCTGGCAGGTGAGCGATCGCATGCGCTGGGGACCAGCAGACGAGGGCTGCTCGGGTCTCGGCTGCTGGCTTCGTGGAAGAGCTCAGAGCCCGTGTGTGTGTGAGTGTGTGTGTGTGTGTGTGTGTGTGTGAATGGCCATGGAGGAAGCACCATGCAACACATCAGGTGTGCTGCTGGGTACTGCGGACAAGACCAGGAAACAAATAGACACAGTTCCTGCCTTCGCGGAGAGAAATAAACACGGAGTCAGGGAGACCCAGAGGCACCGAGGTTTGAAATGAGCGCTGCTGTGTGAGGTCTGTAATGACACACTGAGGCTGGGCAAATTTAGAAAGATAAGAGGTGCATCTGGGCTCACGGTTGTGCAGTCCAAGGTTGGGAAGCCGCACCTTGCCACAGCCTCCTTGCCAGCAGGGTCTCGAGCCGGCACGGGCTTCCACAGGGTGAGACGGGAGCGTGGGTCTGCACCCCCTCTGGGCTCTCTCCTCACACAGCCACTGCTGTTCAGTCACTTTTGGGGGCTCATCCTGGTGACCTCAGCTAAGCCTGAACACCTCCCAGAGGCCCCGCCCCACACGCCACGGTGAGAGTGGGCCTGCACCCGGGTCACACAGCATGGTGGGGAGGGGACAGGCCACAGCTGCGGCTCCACATTTGGGATCCACACCCAACACCCACGAGAGTCAGCCACAAAAGGACGCAGGTGCAAGTCCCGGGGCAAGGGTGCTGGGGGATTTACAGGACTCGGCAGAGGGCAAGTGAGGGGACAGCACGTCATTGGGCCAGGGTCACACAGCCGGCTGGGGTCCGAGAGGACACGGGCTGGGGTGAGGCGGGTGGTGTGATGACCACAAGGACTTGGGCTTTGCTCCAAATGAAAAGCAGGCCACAAAGAGCTCCCAGCAGAGGGCAGACGCGAGCTGAGTCGGTGGGACCGAGCGGGAGCAGGGCAGGGGTGCTGCCGGGAGCCCTGTAGGACGCTGCTACAGCCACCCGGGAAACAACCCGGGCGACCTTGGACAGCTGGGCAGCGGCAGGGAGGGGACGAGGAGACGCAGTCACACTCGGGGTCAGAGGGGGCAGGATTTCCCGGCTCGCTGGCCGTGGGTTATATAAGAAACAGGGAGACGAGGGGGACCCCATGCCTAAAGAGGGTCTCCAAAGCTAGGAGACCCCTGGGGTCCCGGCCAAGGCAGCTACTGCAGGCAGAGGACAGCGGGGGACCGAGGGCTCCAGAGGGGGTGAGGTGGGGGTGCAGGAAGGGAGGGGCCGGCAAGGGCCCTGGTGAGCAGGGAGGGGCCCTGGACGCCACGAGAGGGCAGGGCTCCAGCAGCAGGAAGCGGCCACCAGGGCTACGGGGCTGCCACTGCTGGTGATGATGGACACAGGCGGAACGTCCAGGGGAAGAGCTGCTCCTCTGTCAGGGCCCTGGGCTGGGCCGGCCTGGAACTTCATCCAAGTCTCCCCCGTGGATGGCCGGGGCCCGAGCACTCGGGCCATCTCTGCTTGCCCTCCCAAGTGCACTAACAGGGAGCTGGATCGCAAGTGGAGCCCGGCTGGTGCACACAGGGAGAGGCACTGCCTTACTCCGTGATTTTTCTTTTTATTCCAGTTTTGCCCAACCAGCAGCCTCCAGCCTCTGGGTCCCCGTCTTCCTGTCTGGAAATGGATTCTCTTTTATGTGAACCCGGCCACATCACGGGCACAGCGGAGGGCCGCTCTGCTGCAGAGACCCTGCCACAATCAACACCTCTTACCTCTGACCCCGCTGTCGCCGACACCTGAAGGGCTCACGCCCGCCCCAGCACCTGGGTCCCCACCAGCCGGGCTGTGCTGTTGGCTGCCCCGCCCCCTGCCCCGCCCCCAATCAGGTCACGCGTCCTTGTCCGAAGGCCATGTCCTCCAAGGGTCCTTTCTGCTCCAACTCCGTTTTTCTGCGTCTCCCTCTGCTGCCTAGATCTTTGGGGAGCCAAGAGGAGGGATTGTGTACTTTTCATCTCTGTACTTGCGGGGTTCATCGTAAGCACCCACTGAACACGGAAGAAGTGAACAAAGGCCTGAAATGCATCAAGCCGGCCTCCGCTTTGCTCTGGCCACATGGAAGCAGCCAGGGCCGGCTGAGCCACCAGACGGAGACCTGTGCCGGAGCCTGGAACCCTCTGCTGTTGCTCCTGGGCCCTCCGGGGAGTCAGCTGCCAGGGCATCTGTTTCCCGGAAGTCAGGGTTGGCCTCGCGGTCCGGAGGGGCACGGTGGTGCCCCTGGCAGAGGTACTGGTGAGGGCGCGCAGGAGAGTCCCTGGCTGAGTTTTCCCTCGAGGAGGGTTATTTCTTGAAGGGTCGTTCTTGGTTGATGGTGTCTCCCACAAAGAGACGTGGGTGTCCTAACCCCCTGTAGCTGTGTCTGCAACCTGATCTGAAATTGGGGTCTATGCGGAGGCTACGGAGTTCAGACGGGGCAGCTCATGGGCCCCAGTCCAGTACCCGGTGCCCTTGGAAGAGGGCATTTGGGGACCTGGCGCTGAGGCACATGGGTAAAGCCACCACCTGCAACACCAGCATCCAACATGGGCGCCAGTTCGCGTCCTGGCTGCTCCACTTCCGATCCAGCTCCCTGCTAACGTGCCTGAGAAAGCAGCGGAAGATGGTCCAAGTGCTTGGGCCCCTGCATCCATGTGGGAGACCTAGAAGCAGCTCCTGGCTCCTGGCTTCAGCCTTGCCCAGCCCTGGCCATTGCGGCCACTTTGGGAGTGAACCAGCAGATGGAAGGTCTGTCTCTCCTGTTTCTCTGTAGCTCTGCCTTTCCTTTGGGACGGGGACACCAGGAGCACCCCGTGCTTGGTGGGGACAAGGATGGAAGCCGTGTGTGGAAATGCCCAGGGAAGCCAAAGAAGGGCCCAGGAGGAGTCCTGCCCTGACCTCAGAACTGTGACAGCACGCCTCTTTCTCCTTCACGGTGGCCAGCTCGTGGTGCTAGGTTACGGCAGCTCTCAGGGACGGATCAGCGACCCTGTGCACCTGGGCTCCCAGGCAGAGGGCAGAGGCCCAGGGAGTCACTGTGGGGAGGCTCCTGAGACGTCCGAGGCCTGGACACCAGGGGGACACACACGGCCTGTGGGACACCCAAGGGGACCCAGCTCACTCAGGGACAACCAGGGGGACACGGCTCACCTGTGGACACCCAGGGGGACACGCCTAACCTGTGGGACTTCAAGGGGACCCAGCTCACTCAGGGAAAACCAGGGGGACACGGCTCACCTGTGGACACCCAGGGGGACACGGCTCACCTGTGGACACCCAGGGGGACACGCCTCACCCAAGGACACCCAGGGGGACACACATGACCTGTGGGACACCCAGCGGGACACGCCTCACCCAGGGATACCCAGGGGGACCTGGCTCACTCAGGGACAACCAGCAGGACACGGCTCACCTGTGGACACCCAGGGGGACATGCCTCACCTGTGGACACCTAGTGGGACACGCCTCACCCAGGGATACCCAGGGAGACCTGGCTCACTCAGGGACAACCAGGGGGACACGGCTCACCTGTGGACAACCAGGGGGACACGCCTCACCTGTGGACACCCAGGGGGACAGGGACACACACGGCCTGTGGGACACCCAGCGGGACACGCCTCACCCAGGGATACCCAGGGAGACCTGGCTCACTCAGGGACACCCAGGGGGACACGCCTCACCTGTGGACACCCAGGGGGACACACACGGCCTGTGGGATACCCAGTGGGACACGCCTTACCCAGGGATACCCAGGGGGACCTGACTCACTCAGGGACAACCAGCGGGACACGGCTCACCCGTGGGACACCCAGGGGGACACGCCTCACCTGTGGACACCCAGGGGGACACTCCTTGCCCAGGTGAGCAGGAGGGAGTCAGACACATGGGGCCCCCGGCAATGTGTGGGACTGAACAAGCTCCCAATGCGCCATCATCTGCAGTCAGTAGCCAAGACATTATGCTGGGTTCATCAATAACTTCAACCAGCAGGTTTCCCCTGCAGGGCACCCACAGGGATGCTGGGAAGAGCCCGAGCACTGGGGTCTCACAGCCTTGGGCCCCAGCCCCCGATGACCAGCCGTGAGCTTGGGCAAGCTCAGCCCACCGCAGCCTCAGCATCCCAATTCTACCAACTGTGGACCCAGTGCAACCTGTGCCCCACACCTACGCCCCAAGGGTACAATCCGTCCCCAGGGCCAATCGGGGCATCTCCCAATGTCCCAAGAGCAGTCTTCACCCAGGTGGAGTGAGGCAGACGCCCGAGAGCCACCTGAGCGCAATGGAAAGAGAAGCACGCCCCACGCTAAGAGCGTGAGGATTCAGGGGCGGTGGGGCAGCCACCCAGCACAGACGCTGGCAGGCTCGAGCTGGCTGCTCTGACCTTATTCTTTATTCGGTTGTCATCACCTTCCCGGGGAAGAGCGCTTCCTGCCAGCACTACCGAAGACCCTTGCAAATACAGCCAAGAAGCCAATTAACAACTTCTTTACACACGGCTGGCAGGCAGGCGGGAGGCGAGCGCGTGGCAGAAGGCGGGAGGCAGGAGGCTGGTTGGTGAGCAGTCAGCAGGTTTCCGGCACGCAGCATGAGCTACTGTTCACGCATGGGGTGCTGGGGAACCCATCTCTCCCAGTGGCCCAAATCCGTGTGCCTGGGGACCTCACCCTCCTGGCGGGACACCCCAGGCTCAGCTCTCGCTGGGCTCGAGGGGTTCCGCCTGCCAGCTTGGATGCACAGGGCAGGGACCGGAGTGGCGGCTGCTGTGGCTCAGTCCCCTTGGGGTCATTCTCTGGCATGAAGCCCCGGCAGGTCTGTGGTCCCGGGGCTGGGGTACTCCAAGGCACTGCAGTCATCCGACAGGAACACCAAATCCTGCAACAGACATGGTATGTGCCAGAACATTCCAGAAGGGGCCTGCAGGGCCCAGGAGCAAGTGGGGGACTCTCAGTCCCCTGCAGCTGTTCCCCTTGGTGTGAACCCCTCCCCCACAGTTCCCATGAGATCTGACGTTCCACTAGGAGCAGTCCTCAGGGAAATCCCTCACCCACTGGTTGGCCAGAGGAATGGCCAATGAGAGGGAGAGGGAGAGAATGAATGGATGAGCAAATGAGTGAATGAATGTGCCCATGACCAAGCAGCGGCTCTGCGGAGGGTGGGCAGGGCAGCGCCAGCTCCACCTTCAGACAACTGTGTCCTGACCAGACAGAACGCCAGTGACATCATCTTCCTGGCTGTCCCCAGCCCCGCCCGGGGGCAGAGGGCACGAGGAGGGGATTCGTGCCCAGGACAGGAAGACTTCCGGGCTAATCACTGACAGAGCCAGGCACGGCGCAGCCTCCCCACCAGCCTCTCAGGGCCAGGGAGTCCTGCAGTGCCCGGCCCTCGGGAGGGACTCACTCCCGTCACCTTTCCCATGATCTCAGGAGCCGGGCACTAGCATGTCCCACGTCCACGAGCGGAGGAGCTGCCCTTCGCAGGTGTGCGGTCACCCCCGCCGGTGGGAAGAGCCGGGGTGGGGGCAGGAAGAGGCAGGCACAGCTCAGGGCTGTGTGGTGCTACAGTCAGTGCCCAGGGACCACAGGACGGCCACCCCCGCCACCACGGCGCTGGTCTTCAGTCCCTGCCCGGCTCCCACAAGGGCCCTCCCATCCCACAGCGCACCTGAGGGGCCCAATGCCAGAGCAACGCCTCCCACCTGCCCCCCTCAGCCGCCTTCAGGGTCTGTCTTGGGGGTCCTGGGCCACTGCCCCCCACCCCGCGCCTTGTCCCGAATCCCCTTCCCTTCACAAGGGTGACCGTGGGTGGGGAAGAGTCTGGAGGACCGGAAGCAACTCCCAAATCATCCTGCTCCTCCCCACGTGTGGGGCACTCACGTACCCTCCTGCAGAATGAGTTCATGAGGGTGTACAGCTTCCGCACTTGGTCCTTCAGGGCGTCCACCCGGGCCACGTGCCAGCACTGGGGTGAGGCCACGAAGTCCCGCAGCTTGGCCAGCACGCAGTAATTCTGGGGGTGTGCAGGGGGTGTTGGAGAAGCCAGAGGGAGAACAGCCCCACGTTGCCTCTCCCCACCTCTGAGCCTCGGGGCGGGAGCACAGGCTCAGCCCCACCCTGCCTCCCCCTGGGACGGGCAGCACCCTCTTACGTGGATGTCCAGGTACAGCGCAGGCAAGTACTTCACACACGGCTCCTGGGAACGAATGCAGATGGCTGTGTGTCCAGCGGGGACACCGCGGCTGGACACGCACTCCCCGGCCCCCGGCCAGCCCTCCCGCCTGCAGGCCAGTCCTGGTGCTAGGACACACAGCATCCCTGCATCTGTGTCACTTTCCCGCCGGAATGAGCAACTGCTTTGCTGCAACCGGATGTTCAGAGCACAGCTTCTTCTGCTTCTTCTTCTTCTTCTTCTTTTTTTTTTTTTAAGATCTATTTATTTATTTGAAAGACAGAATTACAGAGAGAGAGAGAGAGAGAGAAGTCTTCCACCCACTGGTCCACTCCCCAAATGGTTGCAATAGCCAGAACTGGGGAGATCCAAAGCCAGGAACCCAAACTTCTTCCGGGACTCCCACGAGGGTGCAGGGGCCCAAGCACTCAGGCCACCTAGTGCTGCTCTCCCAGGTGCATTAGCAGGGAGCTGGATCAGAAGTGGAGCAGCCGGGTGTCAAATTGGCACCCATATGGGATGTCGGCACTGCAGGCGGTGGCTTTACCTGCTATGCCACAGCGCCGGCCCCACCACTCGCTGAGTATGAGGGAACTTTTTACTACATACACACATGGAGACATGCATAAATATCTCCAAACTGTCTCTAAGAGCAGCGCAGAAGGCGTCAGATGTGGTACGTACGGTACTGGGCGAGTACCCCGATGTAAAGCAGTTTTGTAACCCGCTGTTCCACAACAGTTCCCAGCCTGCCTAGGGTTCCAGGAACATCGCTAGGCACAACAGCACACAGGCAGCTGGGCAGCCCGAACCAGCAGCTCCCGAGTGCACCCACGGCAGCCCCACCGGGCCAGGCCGAGCCCGGGAGACCACAGCTCCATCTGCGCCTCCCAGGCGGGGGTGACAGGGTTCCGACTGCCTGAACCGTCATCTGTCGCCTCCCAAAGTCTGCAGCAACAGCTGCGAGGACTTGACCCAGGCACTCGGATGCCGGCGCGGGCGTCCCACGTGGCAGCTTACCTACTGCACCCAGCGCCCACCCCAATAAACATTTCCGCTCTCTTCCAGCGTCCCAGCTCTGACCCTGCTTTTTTTTTTTTTAACCTTTTAAAGTCAGAATTCCTCTAAAAGATGGTGCTCTGAACACCTGCTAAGCAGGCTTTTGCATTAATCACGGTGCAATTATACAACAGCAGGTTGCTATAAAGGAGTCAGAACGCATTCTGCTGGTATCACGCCCAAGCAGGCTGATCCAATCTGCCCCCGCCCATGCACACACACAAGCACACACGTGGGCCCACGCGAGAGCACACGCACACACACGCAGAGTGCGGAAATTCTGTCAGTGGAATGTCGGAGTCACCTCCAGATGCTAGGATTACAAGAGATGGTTACTTTCTGCTTTGTTTGCGCAGTCTCTGACCACCCTAGTGAGTGCATCACTTTTACAATGAGAAAAAAGCGACCTGTTAGCTAACTTTCAAGCAGCAAGTGCAGAGGTGGCGCAAAGCCAGCGTCTGAGCATGGCCAAGCGGCAAAGAGCCACTTGGGAACCTTCCCAGAAACGCCTCTTGCTCCTGTCCGGGACCGGAAGTCAGAGGTCTGCCCGCTCCCCAGCAGCCCCCGCCCCCGGACGCCCCTCTCCTGAAAGCAGTGAGCAGCTGCTGACCTCACAGTGCCTGTTTTAACTCCCAGAGTCCTCAGGGTGGCCCGAGGCTGCTCTCACTGTCACCCACGTTACAGGGAGGGAAACTGAGGCACGAGGCTGAGCCATCTGCCCAGGTGAGGGGCGGCACTGGTCCTGGAAGCCCAAGAACTTGGAAGCTCCGGGTCCTACAGGGACCTGGCTCCCTCCCCTCCCTCCCTCCCTCTCCCTCCTCCCTCCCTCTCGTCTTTTTCTCTGATAGTTCTAGCAAGTTACAAGCAAAAATGGGGCTCAGTAAGCACCCCACACACACTGGCGCAATATTTAATAGGAGGGAAACGCACAAACACCCGATCTGTGGTCCTCGGTCCAGGAGTGGCCAGAGCCCCGGGGGGAGCTGGGCAGGGACTCACCGAGGGCTCCTCGGCCTGCAGGCTCTGGAAGTCGCGGGTGAGCTCGCGGCTGAGCGCCCGCAGGCGCGAGTAGCAGGTGGGCGGCGCGGGCGCGGCGGGCGGCGGCCCGGCCAGCAGCAGCAGCAGCAGGGGCAGCGGCCAGCGCGTCATGGTGCCAGCGCCTCCCCGGCCCTGCGGCCGCCCGCGCCTTTAAGGAGGTGTTCAGGCCGGCGCCACGCCCCCACTTCCTGTGGGGCCCAGCCAGGGCCCAGGGCCAGCAAGGCGGTAGGGGGAGTGGGGGATGGAGAGGAGGGGCGGGCGGAGGCAGCGGGAAGAGCTTCCTCTGGCTGGGACCTCCCCAGACCACGCCGCAGGGCCAAGGCTGGGCTGGGAGCCGGGCTCCTGGGGCGGTGCCAGGGCTCTGCCCCGCCCCTGATGGGGGGAAACACCTGGGTTGACCCCGGGTCTTGGGTAGTGGGGGTTACAGTTTTGTGGTTTATGGAGCATTGCAAGAGGAGCCAGTATGGAGGCAGCTGAGGGTCCCAGCACAGGGCAGTGGACTGGTGTGCTGATCACCTGGATTCTACACGTTATGGTGTGCGTGCTACAAGCATGCACCGTATGCGGCCGGTAAAAAAGAACCATGGCACCCGTGTCGTAGCACGTGGCTCGTAGGTTAAGCCACTGCCCGCGAAACCAGCATCCCGTATCAGAGTCCCGGCTGCTCCGCTTCCGATCCAGCTCCCTGCTAAAGCGCCCAGGAAAGCAGTGGAAGATGCCCAAGTGCTTGGGTCCCTGCACCCACGTGGGAGACCTGGAAGAAGCTTCTGGCTCCTGGCTTTGGCCTGGCCAGCCCTGTTGTGACCATTTGGGGAGTGAACCAGTAGAATCAGTAGATGGAAGACATTCTCTCTCTCTCTCTCTCTCTTTTTCTCTCTCTCCCCCCCTCTGCCTATCTCTATCATTCTGCCTTTCAAATAAATGAATCTTTTTCTTTTTTTTTTAACCATTTTTAAATAAGAGAAAAACTAGCTGATTTGTTGCAGGAGGGACAGGGATTGGAAATGACCAAAGCCGAGGCAGCCAGGATGGAACAGTGCTGTGGCCATGGGGTCAGGCACCCCAGCTGTCAGCGCCCACCAACCACCCCCACAACAGGCAGGGAGGTTGGGGAGGGGGCCGTGCCGCTTACGCTCTCCTGCCACGAGACCAGACTGGGTCCTCGGGCTGGCATGATCAGGGAGCAAGCCGGGAGGCAGCAGGAGGAGTCTCCCGGGACGGCGAGTCTTGCTTGCACACTAGCGGCCGTCGCAGATGCCACGAGCCTGCCCAGAGAGCCAGCAGGCGAGGAAACTCGAGGTCTCGGGGCATAGGCACTGGGGAGGGGGCGGTGGAGCTGGGAAGGCAGAGGGGACCGGGTGAGCTGAGCGTGCACAGAGCAGGACGGCCGAGACCACGGGGACCACGGAGACCACGGGCGAGGGACGCAGAGCGTGGGGGCCTGCCACGGGCAGGACTGTGGGCCTGCTCCCGCCTCTCCCCGCCTTGGTCCCTTCTCTGTACGTAAACAGGGAACTCGCACCACCACCCCACCCCCCCATCCCACCCCCACCCCCACCCCCCGGGCGCCAGCTGCTCCCGCTGTTTTGTTTGTCTGCTTTCGGGAGTCCTGGGCAGGGATCTGAGAGGCGCCTTCCTGTTTTGTCCGCAGTGAGTTCTCGAAAGACCTCCTGCCAAGGTGGCCCGGGCCCGGGCGCCGGGCAGCCTGTGTGCCCTCGGAGACGGCTGCAGCCGCGGTCAACAAAACCTCAGCAGTGCGGTGCCGGGGGCGTGGCCCTCGCTGGCCCCAGCCAGGGACTCCCGGACGGCTTTGCAATGTTCCAAGGCTTAGGGCCGGGAGGAAAAACAAGCCCAAGCATTCAACAAGTCCCTGCACCGTTTAGATCCAGGAGGCAATGCTGGGCTGGGGAACAGGTGCTGTGTGCGAGCTGGACGTGGAGAGAAGTGTGTGGCTGGGGGCTCTGACCTTGTCCCACCCGGCCACCTCGGGACGTCCCTGGGCTTCTGGGCGGATGAGCACAGAGCTCGGGGGGCCTCCAGCGCTCCTGCTGAATGCTTGAGAGTGAGCGGCCTTGGCGCTGACAGACGCAGTGGATGTCGGCCCCCAAGGAGTCAAGTCCAGAGTCAGACAGCCGTGCACTGGGCCAGGCCCAGGGGAACCCTGGCATCTAACTGGGGAGACCAGGAAGTTCCCCAGACGGGAGGGAGCCTCGGGCCGATTCCTGGATTCCTGGGCGGTGGAGAGGAGGGAGATGAAGAGGGGCAGGCGTGGGGCGTGAGAATCCAGCTGTGCCGTCGCCCGGCCGCCCCTGTGTCCTGAGTGAGACCCCTGACTGGACGGTGCACCGCCTACCTCCTTCCCCGAGTGCACCGTCCTCCAGGACCAGGGCTGGCCGGCTCCGGGCGCCCAGCGGGGCGGTGCTGACGCTCGGTGAGGCGCATGGCTGACTTGGCACTGCTCTCAGAAGCTGAGACTCTGCAGCCGGTTAGGAAAGCCACGGGGTCCATCCCAGGGCAGCTTCCTCGCTCAGCTCCGCCTCCCGCCCCCACCCCCCACCCCCATGCTGGGTGCTGCGGCGGGGGGGGGGGGGGGCGGCCAGCAGAGACCAGCACATGTGTTCTCCTTGAGATGTCCGCCTGACCACTGCCCTCGTGGCCCCTTCCTGGCCCCGGTCCACGGCGTCTTCTGCAGCAACAGGCTGCTCCAATGTTAAAAACCCTGGTGGGACGTTTCCTGCAGCCTGGGGCGCCCTTTGGCTTCCCCTGCAGGTGTCTCCTGCGTGCCTTCGCGTCTTAGGTGAGGCGGGGAGCCCATGGCGGCGCGGCAGCCCACTGTGCAGGTGGGCAGACCCGCCAGGGCCAGCGAGCACGCGGCTGGCTCAGCACCACATCCGCCATTCAGCAGCCGTGGATCCCTGGATCGAGGGGCTGTCGCAGGCCTGGCGCTGAGATGGGGGGAGGGGGAAAGGGAAGGAAGGTAGCTAGCGTGACTGACACACGGGGAAGCCCCGATCGGGTGAGGGCTGAGAGCTGAGAAATGCCTCTTGGAAGTGGGGTGGCAGGAAGGGGTGTGTGTGTGTGTGTGTGTGTGTGTGAGAGAGAGAGAGAGAGAGAGAGCAAGAGAGAGACAGGAAGACTGCAAGATTGTAAAATCTGATGCTGCTGTGTTTTTGTTTGTTTGTTTGTTTTATCATGCAGAGTTAGACAGTGAGAGAGAGAGACAGAGAGAAAGATCTTCCTTCCATTGGTTCACCCCCCTAATGGCCGCTACGGCCAGCACTGCGCCGATCCGAAGCCAGGAGCCAGGTGCTTCTCCTGGTCTCCCATGGGGTGCAGGGCCCAAGCACTTGGGCCATCCTCCACTGCACTCCCGGGCCACAGCAGAGAGCTGGCCTGGAAGAGGGGCAACCAGGACTAGTTACCTGGCGCCCCAACTGGGACTAGAACCCGGGGTGCTGGCGCCGCAGGTGGAGGATTAGCCCAGTGCGCCACGGTGCCGGCCCTATGCTGCTGGTTTTGAAGAGCAGGGAAGAGGCCACGAGCTGAGGAATCCAGGAGGCTTCGAGAAGCTGGAAATCAGAGGAAGATTCTCTCTTGGGGCCTCCTAAGAAGACCCAGCTCCGCCAGCATCTGGACTTCAACCCAGAAGGAACCGTGTGGGGCTTCTGGCCTCCAGGGCTGCAAGATCCTGTGTCTGTGTTGTTGCTGTTTGCAAAGATTTATGTATGTATTTGAAAGGCAAAGTTACAGAGAGAGAGAGAGAGAGACCTTCCACCTGCTGGTTCACTCCCCACATGGCCACAACTGCCAGGGCTGGGCCAGGTCAAAGCAGGAGCCAGGAGCTTGCTCGGGGTCTCCCACACAGGCACTTGGGCCACATTCTACTGCTTTCCCAGGGAGCTGGATGGGAAGGGGAGCGGCTGAGACTTGAACTTTGGCGCTCCCACGGGCTGGCAGCATTGCAGGCGACGACAGGCTACTGCGCCCCAGCGCCGGCCCCTTCAGGCTTGCTTTAAGCCGCTAGCTGGTGTTGTACAGTGGTGCTAGGTAGGAAGGAAACTCGCCATCTCTCTGGGGCTCAGGAGAGCCGACGCCGAGGCTGAGGGAAGTGTGGAGGTGAACTAGGCCAACCTGCTGCGTGCCCGAGGGCCTCGCAGCCTGCAGTCAGGAGCTGACCCGGCAGCTCGCACGCCTCCCCCTCCACCAGAGCTCCCTGCCCCAAGGCTGCCCGGCAGGCTCTGTGTAGCTCCGAGGAGTGTGGACTCTTCCCCAGGTGGAGGTGCCATGCCACGGCTCCCGGTGCCGCCGTCCTGGGCCCAGGCTCCCAGGATAGTCCTGGCTGCCGGGGAGCACGCCCGAGCCTCTGTCTCCGCCTGCACACGCTGCTGTCTTCAGAGTAAACGTCCCAACCCCCAGAACCTCCTTCAACGGGAAGTGGCCTCAATCCTACGGCAGCCCCACAATGCACTTCTCTCTGCCAGCATCCTCCTCCTCCCAGGAGCTGTCCCTGGAGCAGAAAGCCCATCCCCAGCTGGGCACCGGCTTTCCCGGGCCTGGAAGGTAAAGCCGCCAGCCCCAAGTCTGCCAGGCCTTGCCTGCCCCTGCCCTTGGGTAGCGGTGATGGTGATGACACTGATGACGGTGATGGTGATGGTGGTGGTGACGGTGATGATGGTGATGGTGGTGATGGTGATGGTGGTGATGGTGATGGTGGTCGTGACGTTGATGGTGGTGATGGTGATGGTGGTGATGGTGACGGTGGTGGTGGTGGTGATGGTGGTGGTGACGGTGGTGATGGTGATGGTGATGGTGGTGATGGCGATGGTGGTCGTGACGGTGATGGTGGTGATGATGGTGATGGTGATGATGGTGATGGAGGTGGTGGTGATGGTGATGCTGGTGATGGTGGTGGTGGTGGTGGTGATGGTGGTGATGGTGATGGTGGTGGTGGTGATGAAGGTGGTAGTGATGGTGATGGTGGTGGTGACGGTGGTGGTGACGGTGATGATGGTGATGATGGTGATACTGATGGTGATGGTGACGGTGATGGTGGTGGTGACGGTGACAGTGGTGGTGATGGTGATGATGGTGATGGTGGTGATGATGGTGATGGTGGTGGTGATGGTGGTGATGGTGGTGGTGATGGTGGT